ATCATCTGGATGACACATGGATGTAGGCTTGTCCTTTGACAGATTGCTTAGAGGGGAAGAGCAGTGAGGCAGCAGAAAGCCACTCTCATACCTAACTCACCACAAGAGAAATGATTCTCAGCTTGATGCACAAGTTCTTCTCAGACCCTCTGGCCAAGCAGCATCGTGTCCCAGAAGTGTCAGGGGAGACCTCAGTGCAGGGTACTTCCCCCTGGAGACATGGAAATATGTGAAAAGTCCTTAAAGAAGATGAAGAATAGCCTCAAAAAGGGGATGTAGCCAAGGGAGTGCCTCAAAAGAGTACAAGATGAGCTGCAAACTCTTCTTGATCTCTCGGGCTGGAGGAGACTGGCTTTGAACATTAAGACAGTTTGATTCAGCAAAGGGGTGGGGTATCAGAAGAAGTGTCAGCTATAAATTGGCTCTGGAGCAGCCCCGGGGACTTTGCAGCCTGTAACTCCAGAATATGACAGGGCTACCACTAAGCAAAGACTCCTGATACGTAGGGCTTGTGTTTCTACACAGAGTTTAAGTGAAGTGAAGGTAGAGCTGGAATGTCCTCCAGAGCCTTGGTACTGCGGTGGGAGGAAGATGCCGTTGGATGAAGGACAAGGAGGGAACGCTGGTTTATGGGATGCCATCCTGGAGCATCTCAATTTACGATGTGACCAGAAAAAAGACTACTAAGAGTGACTGTGTTTGTTCACACATGGATTTTGAAGAGTTTAAAATGAAATTGAAGCAAAAGCAGAGAGAGGAAGCAACAAGGGTGGCTGAGGACCCTGAATGGCTCTGGACTCTGCTGTATGTACCAATATATCAACTTCATGATCTGAAGTGTCCCATCCTTTCTGTTTCATCCTTTCCCCACTTTGTACCACGAGCTCCCCGTTCTGTTATGTAATATATTCACTATATTCTGATTTATTGACATTAGCACTAGCCTTGTACCGGGGACATCGCATCCCTAACTTAGATTCAGCCATCCTGCCTGTAAGTGCAGGCAGCATCTTTCCTCCACACTTAGCAGAAGACCTCCCTTCCTCATCCCACCCCACTAAAGAACACGCTGGCAAGGCATGGCAGAAGTTTTGAGTAGCACATGATGTGTTTTACTTCTGGGATATTTTCCTAGATCTATAATGTGTTGTATTTTCTAAATACTCTGGAGTAATAACACCAAAGCTGCTCTTCAAGATCTGTTGATCTCTGGAATTGGTGAAGAAGCACTTTATTTTTCAGAGAAGGGAAAAAAAAATTGGTCATGTTTGGGTATTTGTATCACTGACTGATAGTTCAGGAAGGTCCAAGAAGCTTTCATCTGGATAGACCAAATTTCCTGAAAATGTTGAAAACATATTGGTTCCAAACCTCCCCCGAAACCACATGTTCTAGATTAAGCATGTGTTTGGGAGCTAACATCCTTCTTTTCCCCAGCTCCACCATCGTCTGGAATTAATAACATTGTGCTTAAAAATATTTGAAAAGCCTTAACGTATCTCGTGCTCGTGTGAGTGAAGTAAATGTCATTACACCAGTTCTGTAAGTGACACAACTGAGTTTCAGGGGTTTGACTAAAGTGAAGTTTTTTTAGAACTTATTCGTTGGGACGACTGACATCAAAGAAGGCAGCAGATTCTTCATCGCTGGAAACCTCAAGTAACACTTGATCTTTTCTTTCTATATCCCCCCACCTTTAATATTGGTCAAATATATATGGAGGGGTTGATGGGAGACTTGGTAGCTTTAATACTTGATCATCATAATGGTTCCTTCTGGTCTTAATGTCTATGAAAGTTGATGGGATGGGTTAATTCCTGCTTTGCCCCTCTTTTTTAGGAGGGCTCAAGTGGCAGAGAACTTCCTTCCTGGAGAGGTGGAAGCTTTCCCAGCTGGAGGGAGCTTTCTATGAGAGATAGAAACAGCCCGAGTTGTTGGGTTGGGTGGTAACCTGAAGGTTAGAAGGACTTGAGTCCTGGGACACTCATCTGTTGCACCATAGGACCTGGTTGTCATGCTCAGCTTCTGTTTCTTCTCTTCCCTTTGTGCATTGTGTTGATTGAGAATCCAGCATCCTTGGAAAAAAAAAATCCTTCATGTAAATAGGGAGTAACTTCATTTTGGCCACCACCCTTAGATGTTTCAGTAAATCCATTAACAATGTTAGCCCAACTGATGTCCAGGAGCTCCTTTCAAGTTCTGTTAGCTATCTATTCTCCAGAAGTTACTGGTGGATTTGGGCAGTACTCAGAGCTTTGTCTGAGCTTTAGCAAGTGGTCTGTTTGTTAAACCAGATGGTTAGCAGGGTTTGGAAAAAAATACACAAATTTCCATAGCTGTTGAGAACAGTGATCATTAAACAAAATATTCTTCTTCCAACTACAGCCAGAAGCTCGTACTTCAAAGGAAAAACTGCATCATTTTTTTTTAGTGCACAAAGACAATGTAGTTTTTAAAATGTGCACATTAGATAAGTTCATAAAGCTCCTACTTCTGTTTTCATCTTCAAAATTAGATGTTCATCTTGAAAGTAGCTGTGGGCTTAATGACTTAGTGATGTCACCTTATGCTTATTTTATGAATTGAGTGAGAAGTGATGTGGCTTTTCTGGAAGATGCTAACATCTCATTAATCATCAAGATTTTGTCTCTGATTGTGTTTGTAACCTGGGACGAGGAGAACTTCTCAGTGCCTCCATCTTCTCATCTCTCAGAGGTAATGATGGTAATATGGAGATGGCTCAGTCCTATTATCTGGTCTTTTATGTATCTCCCAAACCAGAGCCCTGCTTGGGTAGGAAGGGTGATGATACACCTGAGTAATTTAGTGCTAGGAAAATGGAAACGAGATGCCTTAATAATCTGAGGGGCAAGCAGTGAATGCTGAAGAGGGGCTGGGTCAGGCTGTAGAGGACACGGTGGTTGCTGCAGTCTACCTTTCCAAAAGTGGTTGAACACCTTGAAGACATCAGTAGATGTCTTTGTTCTGAAATGGATGTGGATGCTGCTAGAATATGATAGTGGCACTCGTTGACTTTGTTCTGCTCTTTGGCACCAGAGAATTTGAGAAGGTTCCACAGCCTTCCTAGGTGCTTGTCCTTTGTTTGACTGATTTCTATAACAGTCAACCTTTTCTAGGTTTTATATCAAATAAGCATCATTACAAAGATCTGTTCCCATCTATAAAACCAGTTTGAACTGTTTTGCAGGAATTTCAACTATTTCTTGTTAATCCACACACATAACTAATAAGTGAACTCCTGCACGAAAGCAGGAGCTTTTTCATATCCTATTTATATCAGCATATGTCCTAAAGAAGTTTGTGATATTTTTGTATTTATAGTAAATCACAGCAGCGTGTAGCGTGCAGAAAGAGAAATCAGAGAGGAAAAAAGTAAACTCTATTAATCTTTGTGAGAGAAAACATGTCATATGCAATATCCTCGAGTTGCATCACCATCTGGTTTTTTTTGGGTTGGTTTTTTTTTTCTGAAGCCTTTGGAAATGATCCAGCAGATGCTAGGGCTGCAGGAGCTGGGGGCTAGAACCTGCTCCCTGAAGCATGGTTAGATGTCTTCTGCTGCTTGCTGGGCCACAGCTGCGGTTTTACACAACAAAAAACTCATTTATCACGGAAATATTTCCTTTAGCTTAAGTGAGAAGCTTGCATCTGAACTGGCTCGTTGCTAAAAGCCGTGGCCATGGTGCTTCTGCTAGAAGTGGTTTGGCATTGCTCGGAGCCTTCCTTCCCCTTGCAGATGCCCAGCTGGATGTCTCTGCAGGCAGAAGGCTTCCAGGGTGGCTGTTTTCTTATCACAAAGAGCTGTATTTTCTTGCTTGTAACCTTTCCCTTGAAGTTTACCACTCTGGCTGGTGTTACATCCCCTCCTTTTCTGTTATCATACCCTTTTATTTTCCCAACAGATGTGGAAAATAAGCTTTTGGAGAAGTCTAGGTCTCGAGAGCTGTTCAAAGCCAGGGGCTTCCCCTGTTGTTGCTACTCCAACACCTTTGCTGGGGAAATCCCATCCTGTGATGGAGAACTCAGCGGGCAGATGATAGAGCTGGCCTGAGTTATGACATCAGGAGCTGGTGGGCTTTTCCTACAGGAAATCCAGTGAGAGAGATTATAAATTTCAGAAGCAGATGAGGTAGCTGGCTTCAGCGTTTCCAGTCACAGGAGCAGCCTGCTTCATGGCCGAGTACTCATGGCTTTATGTAATAGAGTAACCTCACCACTTCCCAAAGGGACTGGTCAGAGATTTTTAAGCAGTGACCTGTGATGCTGGAGGGCTTGCTCAGCCCTTCCAAACCTCTACCCCTCCTTCTAAAGGTTAGAAGAAGCCTTCTCATTCCCAGCTTAATTATCTTTGGGAGTAATTCACACACGTGAGGATGTGCCAGTGCTGTCCTTTAAACCCCAATAGGTCTCCTCTCTCCGTGCCCATCACCAGAGCCTTTCCCAGCGATGATCTCATCCCTTTCCCAGTGTTGATGGCTCTGCTTGTCCACTTCTGAAGGTGAGCAGCCCCATCGCATCCGCCTGACCTCCCCAGGAGCCCTTCTGTGAAACTGGTCTCATTTGAATTCATCTTTCTGTATGTAGATGATAAGGATTGACTTCATTACTCCCAGGATTTTCACCCCCACCTACTCAGTGGCATCAGTATTGTCCCAACACCCACAAACGTCCTCTGCAGCTCCAGCTGAGGAGCTCCACCATTCAGCAGAAATCCTTATTATTTCCCATGTATATGTAATTTATAGGACTGTGCATTTTGTATGACTGAATCTCATTCCATGCTTCTTATCCTTCAAAGCCACCCAGCCTGTCCTCTCTGATATCCTGGTCCTCTTCAGTATTAACAGTTCTCATCAGCTTTCCTTCCTCTGTAAAGTGAAGCTGAAATGTGGGGTTGAGTAGAGCTGGCAGCTCCTGCGAGGAGGGATTAGAGCATAAGCATAAATTTAATTTCAGATGAAAGGTAGGAAATGTAGGAGATGGACTTCCCTGGGTCTGGGCTCTGGTTTGACCATGAACACGAGCAGGCAACATGTGGAAAGGAGGTGGGAGGTAGGTGGTGGGGTTGGTAGGAAGAAGTACAAAAGTCAACTGCAAATGGAGAAGAATAGCAAAGCTGGGGTGGCTGTCAGGTTTAACGCCAGCAGCCAAGACCACGAGCTCCATCTCTGGTACGATCATAGCAGATCCTCAAAGGAGTTCATGAGGGACAGAGGTGATGCCAGAAAAATGTAGAAACCAAACGCAAAGTTCTTTTCATAAAGAAGGGAAAAGAGGTGCTGGGGAAGAGCTGACTGGTGGGGTTGCTCTCAGATCCCAGTGGGACTGGAATAAATCCTCAGATGTGCCGCAGTGAAGCCCCTGGAAGCAGAGATGAGAGCAGTAGCAGACAACGTTGATCAGTGGAAAATTCTTCAAGTCAAACCAGTTCCCCTCTACAAGAAGATGGCAGGTCTTGTGGACTCCAGTCTAGCAGCTATCCTGTCACTTGATTTTTTATAAGGCTTTTGATATTACAGAATCCCAGAATGGTAGGGGTTGGAAGGGACCTCAGGAGGTTGTAGAGGAACATAGTGTACATGCCTATAATCTGCATCTTGGAGCGAAAAAAAAAGTGTCTTTTCATAGACCTTCCTTGGAGTCAAGTCATCTAATGGCCTCCGTGAAACTGGGCTAAATAAATGAGTAAAAGGCTTGGAGATAGGGAGCCTCTCGGCAGGAGGAGTGGGATATGCTGAGGTGGGGTTAACGGTGTAGGAGAAGACTAGTAAAGGCTGATGCCTAACTTGTAGGTATTTAACCTGCTCTGTCAGTTAACAGGTAACCAGTGAGTCGTGTGTTCAACCACTGCAGGGTTTAACCAGCTTTATTGGGGAAATATTGGGGTGAAAAGCATGGCAGAAAGGATTTCTTTTTTTTTATCTCCTCTCGGGACAACGTGGATCAAGTGAAGTTTTCCAGCCTTGTGTCTCAGCACCTTTCATACTGAGGGGAACATAGATCTGGTGTTTTGGTGGCACTCTGCTTCTCAAACTCAGACTACATTGAGAAAGAGCCGATGAGTTTACCATTTTGAGGAGAAAACAAGGAAAATTCTGTCTTCTGCTGTATCAGATGCACCTTATGGCTCCGTGCAACAATTAAACGATCTACCTCCTGTTGGGAGACGGAACAGATGCAAACCCCAGAGAGACTCAGAAGCTCCCAGGGCTAATAATATTGTGTGTGTGTTGGGTTTTTTTTTTCTCATGTCAGAAGTATTTTTGTGTTTGTCGAAAGATCCACTTGCACAGCCCGTAACATCTCTCTCTGCCGTGCCTGGAACAGATGCGCGTGTTGTAATATAGACTGTGAACATTGACATCGCATGTGGTTCTCATTCCTCCCATTCATCTTTGAAGCTAATTGGTTCCATCCATCTCCAATGTGTTTGGCTCGCCGCAGCTATTTGTACTTTCACTCTGGTTCTAGCACTAATGGTGTGATATATATAACATGAAATAAACTCTCGTGACTCCGAGGGCTGCAGAGACACATAACGCAGCGCTCGCCTTTCGCTTGCTGTGTTGGGTGGGGGGTTATCTATCTATCTAACTATTTATTTATTTATTTATTTTAAATGGCACCACCCCCTCCCCCACCAGATATTTATTTTTTTCTCTTCACTAGCTGGAGCTCAGAAAATGCAAAAAAAAAAAAGTAGTTTATCAGTGTTTCCCCAAACATAAAAGGTTTTGCAGATCATCTACTGGTGGTGGACCTACTGGTTGGCTTCAGTGTTGGTTCCTACCAAGATATCAGGACTGGCTTTGTTAGAAACCTACGTTTTGTCCTGTCTACATCTTTTAATAATGTGAATTTATGGATGTGTAAAATTAAAAAAAAAAAATAATTAAAAAAAGTAAATTAGCAGCAATAATAAATTGGATAATAGCATAATTTTCCCATGACCCAACAGCATAATGCAGGTGAATTAATATTCCTGTTGAGAAGACATCAGGGAGTTACTGGGTATTTCTCTGGTCCTCCTCTCATCTTCCCTCCTGGGAATGTGACACTCCTGCACTAACAGGTGATTTGTCTTTCCCTCCCAGTCCTGACTGGAAGCCACCTCGTTACCTTCCATTCATTACAAGTGTGTCTCAGTTAAAGGTGATGTCAGTCTTCCATGTGTGTTTAAACCCAGATTTTAGAGGGATTTTTCACTGATGAACAGCGAGGGAATATTGGGGGATTTTTGCAGCTTATTCCCCTTTGTGATTAATTTTTCAGGAAGCAATGGGACATGTTTCACACTTCTTCTGCTCAAAAAGTCATGTAGTTTCTCAGCTTCGCTGTAAATATTTTCACTTCTTGCTAGGGAGGCTTGAATTCCATTGTTTGAGTAATCCAGGTCATACTAATTCTTTGCTTTTGGAGGGTTTTTTTAGTATTTTATTATTAATTTTAAACAACTTGACTCACAAGTATTTGGATTTCTGTTCTCAGCTGGGGGTGTGGAGTCATGCTAACTTTCTTCTAACCTGTCCTGATCAGGACATAAAGTGTGTCAGCTGTAAATGTTGAACTTGGCTATTTCAAGCAAACAGAGAAAATTCATGTACAGCTGCACGGACCAGAAACGCGTCCCTTGTCCTCTTGAAAAATAATCTGCTGTGTAGGGAGTGTCATTTTAAGTGGTTTTTGTTGACTCTCAGGATTTCTGCTGTCTGGAGGTTTGACGTGCTGTGACTTCAGGGGTCACATACAGCAAATCAACTCCGAGGAGTGTTCAGTAGAACTGGAACTAAACTGGTGTCTGAGGGTAAAGCTCTGGCTCAGGGTTGAAGAGCATCTCTCACCTGAGCTTTGCCGTTGGCCTCAAGCAGGTGGTTTAACTCATCTTTGCAATAAGAGGGAGAGGTGCCCACCAAAACTGCATCCTACCAGCCATGGGTTGCTAGTTTGAGAGAAGGTAAAGCAGATCTGGGGGCCAGTAAAATCGTTAAACCTTCACAGCAGTAAGAAACCAGAGAACTCTGCTTTGGCTTACTGGTTTTGTTGCCAGTTTTGTTCCAGCTCTGGAGAGGCTCGCTCCAGGTCGGTGGGTGTTGGTGGCAGTGGGGATTTTCTAAGATGAAATGATCACTGAATTTCACTAGTCATCTTCTTTTTTTTTTTTCTTTGTAGGTCCAAGTTCAGTTAAAAACAAGAAAAAGGGTAAGTTTGAGTTTAATTTAATTTTCCTTTCTGTTCCTGTGTTACCTGGCTATGAATTCTCTTTAGCCAACACGAAGGAAAAGCCAACGACAGGTTCCCTCCCTGGGAAGGGCAGGGATCAGCGTGGTGCATGGTCCCACCACACAACCCACGGGTTGCTCTCCTGCTCCTGCATTGCCGTGGTAGGATGGCACAACCAGAGCAGGAGGAGCATCCTCATTAAAGCCTTCATTAAAAGTTAATTACATCATATAGAAGTAATTCTGAAGATGCTGGACTTAAATATGAGAAATGCAGAAATCACGTGCAGCCTGGGAAGCTCAGCTCATCGTGGGGCTCGTGCAGGCATTACATCCTTCCTGGGGAAGGACTTGTCATAAGGGCAGTTAATGACAAAACAAGGGGAAATGGGTTTAAGCTGAAAGAGGGGAGGTTTAGATGAGATATTAGGAAGAAGTTCTTCACTGTGAGGGTGGTCAGACACTGGAACAGGTTGCCCAGAGAAGCTGTGGCTGCTCCTCCCTGGAAGTGTTCTCGGCCAGGTTGGATGAGGCTTTGAGCAACCTGGTCTAGTGGAAGGTGTCCCTGCTGCTGGCAGGGGGGTTGGAACTGGATGAGCTTTAAGGTCCTTTCCAACCCAAATCATTCTATGATTCTATGATTGACATGGCCAAGCCTGTGCAGCAAAGCCCTGGCAGATGCATTATCACCTCTCTGCTTCCTACCTGTTGCACCTATATTGTGTATATTGAATTTATTGAATTAACAGGCCGGTTAGCTGGTGAGCACTTTGCTGTGTCCCTCAAGAGACCTTCCCACATGTGCTGGTACATGGTCTGGCCTCCAGCCCCTCGTCATGACCTGCAGCAGCAAGAGCAGCTGAGCTTTTTGTGTCTGTGCTGCTTTAATAACACATCAAATCGCTTTTAATCCTCGGATACAGACGCCAAATTTATAGCTGAGAGATTAAGACAGTTAGGAGACTTAGTTTATGTTTACTCTCAAAAGCAGCATAAAATTTTATGTTGGAGAAGTTTGTCCTAACGAAACTCAGAAGCCCTAAACCCGTGTTAAATCAGCCCAACTAATAACAACCGATGTCTGTGGTACTTGGAGCAGTTCTGGAGTAGCAGGGGGATCTCGTGGAGCTGTGTTACAGACAGCTGGAGCGCTGTATAAAATAGTTTAATTTTATGGTATTGTCACATTTAATTATTTTATTTTTTTTTCGAGTTAGAGCTTATTGTTTGGCAAACGATGATGAAGGAAAACTTACTGGTTGTGCCTGCTTTGAGTTTTGGAGCCTGCTTAGTGCAAGTGGGTACAGACGGAGACTTGGCACGCTGGGATTTGGGAGCTAGAGACCCTCCCTGGAGAGTGGCTGGGGTCCCCTCAGTTAGAAGATGAATCAAGAGCTTTCTACTGACTGAAAATCTATATATATTTTTTTTTTTTGCCTTGTGATTTTAATAAGTGAGGTTCCGTTAATGCAGAAAAGTAGTTGAAGTAACTTGAAGGGAGCGGGAATGCACAGAAAATAAGTGTCCCTGTGCGGCGTCAGAATGATGTGCAATTGTTTTACTGCTGAACTAGCAGCTCGTTTAGTAGCAGACCAGATTTCTGAGACAGATGAGTTAAAGCAGCTGTAATGTCTGTCCCTCTTGGGAAGGAAAGCAAGGAGTGACAGCAGCAGGATGCTTGACTTACTGCCTGTGATCCTTCCTTTGGATGGCCTAGATCAGAGGGGATGCGAAGGAGAAGAATTTATTCAGTGTGCTTTAGGGTTTGATTCAAGGTGATCATTTCCAAAGCATGTCATTATCCTGAGGAGAAGGAGGAGGAATTGCTGGATTAGAGGAAGGCTGGCTTGTTGGCAGCTCAGATTTGAAGGCATGGCTACTAATCCAAGCAGAAATACTGCTGTGAAGCATTGTCCCCATTTTTTATAGCACCCCAACGTTCCTTTAATCACCCGTGCTTACCTTAACTTTGTTTTCTGCACATTGAAACTCAACTGCACAGACTTCCACGTGCCCTTGGTGGTGGCTAGTGGCCAGCTACAGGTTTCCACTTCTGTGCTAACTAAAAGAGATGGGTTTTTCCTTACAGCTTTGTTCCATGACAAAGGTGGATGTTTAGCAGAGAAACCAGTACATAAATGTACTCAGAAACCATGCCAATAACCATGATTTCCTGTCCTAACTGCCATCTAAAAAGGTGTTTAACGCTGTCCTACAGTGGACTTTGTTTCAGCAGTTGAAGCCGTTTTACTAAGTTATACTAAAGCTCTTTGGGCTGAAAGCTGTTGCAAAGTTGCATTTTCAAAGCACCATCAAAAGAATGTGATTTTGGGGGATCTGGAAAACCAGGACAGCTCAGGTCAGGCTTTCCCTGCAGACCTTAGTTCAGCCCACCGGGTAGATCCCTGGTAAGAGTCTTGACTTCCATGGTTGTGCTGGTTCTCTTCCTGGGAAGACATGATGAGTTGTGTTTGAGGATTGTGGCAATTCTTCACTGCTTTTGTCTTCCTGATTGGGTTGGTCCTTCCCTTACCCCTCCATCCAAAGCCCCAAATATAATCATGTTAAGGCATTGTAGCATCTAACTCCTTCGTGCACATGAAGTCCATCCTCATGGCATAGTGAAGAGTGGGGCTTTGTGGAGATGCCTCCTGCATCGCCAGCCTCCAGGGCTGGTGGAGAAAGCTGAAGTTCAGCTCTGAACTGCCCTCTGGAGGCACCTCTCCATCTATCAATGTACAGCAGGTAGAAAATATTGCATCTGTTTTCCATCAAAAAACAGAAAACTGAGAAACTGCAGAGGGGTTCATCTTGACTTTTAACACCTGCTTCTGCCCTGCCAGCAGCGTTGTCCTCGCGGCATGGAGCCAAGAGACCTCCACCCCACCCTGGCTGGTTGGGTGCTCCTCCTTGTCCCTGCTCTTCAGCCAGCAATGAGCCATTCCCAGTCTTTTGCTTTCCTCGTTCCCAAGCTTTTCCTGTAGGTAAAAGACCACCCCATGCTCAGTGTGTGGAGAAGCTAACGTTTGACTTTCTATTTTTCAGGTAAAAAGGCTGGTCCTCCAGGGCCCAACGGTCCCCAAGGGCCACCAGGTCCTCCTGGGCCGCAGGGACCCCCTGGTATTCCCGGCATCCCAGGGATTCCCGGCACAACCGTCATGGGACCACCCGGCCCTCCTGGCCCACCGGGTCCTCAGGGACCACCCGGACTGCAGGGCCCCTCAGGTAACCAACTGGTCTGTCCCCAGAGCCCTGGCACGATGGGGGGGACACAGGGGATGCCACAGTGGCACCACTGTTCTGCAGATAAATACAATAACTCCAGGTTTCCATCTGAGGACAGCACAAGGTCCAAACGCGATGGTGTAGTGTCCTTGTGTAGAACTTGGGTGTTCCTGAGCTCATCCTTGCACCCACGGTGGGACAAGAGGAGCAGAAGAGGAGCCCAGCAGTGGCAGTGGTTTAGGGTGCGATGTCACAGCCAGGTGGTACCTGTCAGAGGAGGATGCAGAGAAGGAGCAGCAAAGACCTGCAGAGCCTCGGGTGCTTTTAAGTGTCCCACTGAAGTCTGCTGGTGACCAATTTTTGTGTGTGCAGACTGGCTGTGAGGTGGCCAAGAAGGCCAAGGGCATCCTGGCCTGGATCAGCACCAGTGTGGCCAGGAGGACCAGGGAAGTTCTCTTTCCCCTGCACTGGGCACTGGTGAGGC